TAAGCCCTTAAAACCTTTAAACTAGTATTTAGTAGCCTACTTACCAACCTATTTACTTACCTACTTACTCTTATATTATTTAAGTAATTAATTAAGTTAGTAACTTTTATACATTCTTTTAACTTCTCTCTCTCTCTCTCTCTTACAACTATTAATAGAAATACTTTAATATTATAGCTACTTATAGTCCTAAATTCTCTTTAAAAATAAAATTATTTATAACTAATATAGGTATATATTAATACTCCTACTTATATTATTTTAATGAAAAATAAAGAAGTTTAAATTAAAAAATAAATTAAAAAAGTATATTAGTAATACCTATAAAAAAAAATATATAGCTATTAAGATTAATAATAATAAAGTTTAATAGTTTATTAATAACCTTAATTTTAACCTTAATAAATACTTTTAATACTTTTATTAAACCTTTAAAGACTAAAGTAACTACCTTAAGTAAGTTAAGTTAAAACTTTTTAAGGACCTTTATAATAACCTTTACTTAAACGGCATTTATACTAGGCTAAGCAATAAGTCACCGCTTAATACCCTACTTACTCTTATTTAAATACTCTACTTTAATAAGGAAGAAATATTATAGCTACCTATATAACTAACTAAATAGAAAATAAAACTTTTAATTAAGTTAAAAATAAGACCCTTAACTAAGTAAAAAATGAAGGACTAATAAAGTAAGTAATAGTTTACTATAAAAAGAAAAAACCATTAAAAGAGCTAACTAATTAGAGGTTAGTAATTAATAACCACCTAGTAACAGCCTAGTAAGTAATTAGTTAATTAATAATTTAAACTTAATTTTACCTACTTAAATAATTTAAATTTAAGTAATTTAAGTAATTTATAAAAATATTAATTTAAAGTGTTTTTATAACGTTTAAATTAAGTAAATTATAATTATATATTTAATAGTAATTTTAAGTAATTTAATAATTTAGTTTAAAACCTATTTTATTAATAAATAAAGCTTTTTAATTAATTAGAAGAAAGAAAGAACCTTAATTTTAAAAAATTAAAAAGTTATTAATATAAGAATAATAAGCTATAGTGGATTAGCTACTATAAGTAAAGCTAATAGGCCTATATATATATATAAACCACCTAACTTAGTTAGTAAGTCTAGCTAACCTAATTAAGTGCTTTACTATTTAATTAGGTAGACCTTTTAACTATTATTAATTTATATTACTTTTAAATATTAAATCTTATATATAAGTTAAACTAACTATTAATATTTTATAATATTAATAAAGTTATATATTTTTATTATAATTATTAATATAAAGTAATTATGAATAATAGTAATTTTAATAAGTTAATAATAATATTATTTTTAAAATAAAGAAGTTAAAGAAGATTTTTATTTAATAAATAAATTAATTTTAAATATATTTAAAATAAAATTATAAATTATGAATTAAATAAATATAATTAATATATATTTATAAAGTTATTTTATAATATTTATTTAAATAGTAATATTATTTATTAAATTATATATAAATTTATAAAGTTTATAAAAACTTTTTAATAAACTTTTAAAATATAATTAAAATATTAGAAAGATTAAATAGTATTATTAATTATTTATATAGGTTAAATAATATAATAAAAATAGTTTTTTTATTATTTTTAAGTTTAATTAAATATATTAAAAACTATTTTTAAGTTTATAAAATATATTATTTATAGTTTATTATATATTAAATTTAATTTATTATATTAAATATAAAGTATATATATTTTTAATATAGTTATTTAATTAATAATAATTATAATAAAATATTAAATAGTTTATTTAAGTTAAGCTTTTTTATATATAGTTATTAATTTCTTAAATATAAAGTAAAAGGGTAAAATTAAAAATTTTTATTTTTATAAATAAATATATTTTTATAAGTTTTAATAAAATTATATATAGTTTATTTTATAAAGGATTAAATTATTTAAAAAAGGTAAAAGGTTTATAATTATTTATATTAATATAATAAATAATCTTTAATAAAATATTTATATAATATTACTTTTTATTAAATAAATTAAAAACTTTAATGTATACTTTTAATATAAATAGTTATTTAAAGGTTATTTATAAAAATATTTAGGTGTTATTTTAAGGGTAGAAAGGAGAGTTTTAATATTTAAAATATTATTTTTATAATTAAAAGCTTTAATTTATATATTTTAAAGATATTAATTTAAATTAATTAAAAATATAAATAAATAAAGGGTTTTCTTTTATATATAATATATTATTTATTAATAGAAAATTATTCGTTTAAAGATAAGTTTATTTAAAAATATATTATTAAGGATTACTTTATAAAAATTATAAAAGTTTTTAAAATTTATTAATTATAATAAATTTTATAATAATAAGGATATTCTTTATAATTAAAAGGTTTATATTATTAATATTATTTATTTATATAAGGTTTATAAAAGGTATAGTTTAAGCTTTATTATTAAAGATTTAAAGTAGTAATAAATTTAAAAGTTATAATTAAAAAAATATAAAAGTTATAACTATTAATAAATTAAATATAAAAGATTATAAGGTATTTTTATACTTTTATAAAATAGTTTATTATAAAAGAGAGTAGAAGATTATTAATATTTATTTTTATATAAAAGGTATTTTAATAATTTTAATTCTTTAAGTAAATATTATTAAAAATCTTTTTAAAAGATTATTAATATTATTATTATCTTTTATATAAAAAGTAAGATTATAATATTTCTCTTTATTTAAAGTTATTTTTAATAAAGTAAATTTAAATATTCTTTTAAAAAATTTACTTTAAAATAATTTTAATTAATTATTTTATTATATTAATTTATAATTATATTATATAATTAATTTAATAAATTAAGTTATTTATTATTATAAAGAATCTTTTAAAGGTAATATTTTAATTAATTAATAAATTATAGATATTTTTAAGGAAAGTAGGTTTAATTTTATAGTTTTTATTTAATAACTTTATTTATTATAATTAAAATAAGTATTATTTTTTAAGTTATAATAATATAAGGATTAATATTTATTATTAATATATTATAAGAAGGGTTTTAAAAGTAAAGTAAATAGTTTATTTATTAATTTATAAATTAAAAATTATTAATTATATAAATATAATATTAATTAGTTTAAATTATATAATTTTTAGCTTTTTATAATATTTTAGTTAACCTTTATATAATAAAAGAAGTTATTATATTATAAAGTTAAATAATTATTTTAAGAGTAATAAAGATTTTTATTTAATTATTTTATTAATATAAACTTTAATATATTTAATAAGTTTTTATAATTATTATAATTATTAAATAAGGTAATTTATTAATAATTTTAGTATAAATATTTAGTTAATTAATAAAGATTTTCTTAAATAAAATAATATAGATTATTATAAATTATTATTATATTAATAAGAGTTTAAAAAGTATTTTAAAGATATTAAATAAAGTTAATATATAATTTATTTTTATAGAATAGAAAGGTTAAGAAGAGTATAATTTAAGAGTAAAGAATATTATATTAACTTAAAATTTATATAATTACTTTTATAAAAATAGATTAACTTAATTTATTAATAAATATTTATTTAATAAAATTATTAAAGTTATTTAATAGTTTTAAAAAACTTTATTTAATTATAATTTATAAAGAATTATAAAGGTATAAAGTTAGATTTAAATTTTTTATAACTTATTAAAAATAAAAGTATTTATAATATTAAATTAAAAATTCTTTAAAAGGTAACTTTTATATTAAAAAGTTTTAAAAGGTTAAATTTATTAGATAGAATTATTATAAAAAATTTTTATAAATAAATTTTTATTAATATAATAGAGTTTTATAAAAGTTATATAATTAAAATTAAAATTAATTATATTATTTTTATATTAATTTTAAAATTTAAAATTATTAATAGTTTATTATTTAAAAGTATAAATTAATTAAAATAATAGTTTTATTTACCTTATTTAATATAATAAAGAATTATATTTTATTAAGGTATATAATAATAAAGTTAAGCTTTTAATTAATAAGGTTACTTTAAATAGTATAAACTATTTTAATAGCTTTAAGTTTAATATTATATTTTATTTAATTTTATTAAATTATTACTTATAATTTTATTTAATTATAAAAGATAAATATTTAAAATATTAAAAGAGTTTATAAACTTAATATATTAATTAATAAGTTTTTAAAATACTCTTTTAGTTATAAATTTATTATTAAAAGGTTTATATTTAATAAGTATTTTTAAGGAAAGAGTTTATTAATAATTTAACTTTATTAAATATTTTAAAATATTAAAAAAATTAATAAAAAGTAAAAAATTAATAAAAGTAAAAAATTAATATAAAATAATAAAATTAATATTTATTAATATATTTTTAATTTAATTATAAATTAATTATATTAATAATAATAATATAAAAGAAAAGTATAATTTTTATTATTAAAACTTTTAACTAATTTAAGAACTATTTATTTCTAAATAATAATTATTAATAAATAAATATTATTACTATTTAATTTAATAAATAAAGTTTTCTTTTATAATTATTTTTATTATTAAAAATAATTAAGCTTTATATAATTAAAAGTATATATTTATTTTAAATTAGATAATAGTTAAACTAATAATTACTTAAAAGTATATTTAGTAGTATTAAAGTTAATTATAATTATTTTTATTAAATATAAAAATAAAATAAAGTTCTTTTAATAAAAATAATTATTTTTATACATTTTACTTATATCTATATATTAAAATATTAGAATTTATAAGGATTTTAAAGTTTAAAGGTATAGATAGTTAGGTTATTACTTTTTTTAATCTATTATTAAAGTATACCTGTAGATATATAGTTTTAACTACCTATAGGGCTTGCTTATGTAATTAGACTATGGATCCACAGGGATTGGAAACAAAACCACTTACATTATAGCGTACTGCACTGACATGACACCATCATGTCATGGATTGGAGTGGGTTTCCTTCGAGGACCCGGGGGGGGGGGTGCTACACACTTTAGGGCTGCTGAAGGGAGACCAAATTCATCATCCGGTTTTGTGTCGGCAGGACTTCAAGACATGGGATGACGGGAAGAGAAAGGTATTTGCGAAGATGAGATGATTTAGAAAAGATGTCTAGTTATGCGGCTCTTTTGGAAAATTCTCTGGGCCGATGAAGTTTACCTACATCCTACCTGGGCAGGGGAGCACCTCTTTTAGGCAAACCTTCTATAGGAAAATCTCCTATAGGAAAGCCTCTAATTGGGACAGGGTGTTGTGGGGCAGTTTCCACTGTGTATGCTGCCATGGAGTGTCCTGCACGGGATATAGAGGGATAACGATGTGCTCCTTGGGGCACAAGGTGGGCGGAGCGGGTGAGGCGGCGATCAGCCACTATCTGCTTTGGCGCAGGGATCCGCCGTCCCTCGGATAGTCACTGTTAACGGGGAAGCTCCTTCTGCACAAGGGTGCACGGCTGACCGCAACACGATGTGCCAGGCGTTGAGAGTGAGGTAAAATCCTGTTCCAACATCATTGCAGTCCTAGAATTTTGATGTTCGTGTTCCCGAAATCATCGTAATTTTCCCGGCAACCCAAGATGAGCGGGCCAAAAGCCAGGCGTGACAGGCAGCATCCACGTCAGCTTGAGCCGTTGATTAGTACGCGGAGGGAAGACGGCCTGTGGCAGAGCATTGAAAGAGATGACGAGGATTTGGAATGGCATGAGGTCCAGCGCGGTCCCCTGGCGGTGCCCAAGGAAGAGCATGCCTCAGACCCATACATTGGCATGGTCCAACAGCCTCACCAGCATCCCCGAGACGGTGCAACGGCACCAGGCGACCCGGATGCGGCCTCGATCCCGGATATAAATGCTGTTAAAAAAGAGACCTCAGCAGACAATGGTTCGTCAACACCAACCATGGCTGATGTATCAGCATCGGTATCCCTCTCTCCACGCCAACGCCCAACACTGCCTCCACTCCAGCGCCCTCGTCCAGAAACACCCCAAAGCCAACCACCGCACCCCCAAGACGAGCCCCAGCAAGTGGCCAGAAGACGAAGAGGAAGGCCCAGGAAGTCTCACAATACACCGAACTGGAACAGACCCCGCCGTGTCCGCTTCTCCGACCCCATTCCCCCGGCCGGTCCAGCCCATCAACCAGAGTCCCGACTTGACACGCACGTCTTTGTGCGGCTCCTCAAGATCATTGTCACCGTCGACAGCGCCCCCATGCATCCACCCCAGCGGCAGGAACTAGTATGGAACAACCGGTCAAAGGGATGGAGGCTGGCTGGCGAGAGGAGCGAGCGGAACATCGGAGATGTTGGCGAGCTGTTCGACGACGGGCCTGCAAACGGCTCGCTTAGGGTCATTCTTGCACCTACATTGCATCGAGGGGCCCGGGAGCCAGTCGAGGTCTCGTGGGATGCGTCGAGGTGCTGCTTTCAGGGTCAGAGTCAGGACGGTGGGTGTTTAGCCGTGGCCCTCGGCGAGATGAAAGACATGGTCAAAGACCCGTGGGCTAGACAGTTCACTGCTTATGGCCTCTGAGCATTTGCCATAGTACCTAGGGACCGTGCGAGTTCAGGATGCATGTTGACGAAAGGAAGAAACAACTGGTTGCATATGCGCTGACTTGGAAATATTATACTTATCCGCTATTCTGGGTGCGACGAGCAACACTCGTGCGACACATGTTGTTGAGCAACTAGCACCTCACCTCAAGCGCTGTTCATCCGACCTGCCCCAGCTTCCCCAGCCTAAAACTGAACATCAATCTGGGACTCCTCGACCTTGCGTATCGTTCCGAAGCCGGAGAAGAACACGTCCGCCAGCTGGATCTGTGACTCCCGCGGCCTCGGCACTCTGTCCGTGGGCGGCACGAGCAACGTTACCGTAGCTGAATCGGCACCGTGGTCCCCGTCAGTGGGGGCGAAGATCGGCCTCGCGCGCGTGATGAAGCACTGTTCCGAGTCCTCGAGTGGGGCCGGCGAATTTTCGCCCGCGTACAAGGCATCGTACATCTCGGCTATGGTGACCCCGGGCACCAGGCTGACGACAACCTTGCCCGTCAACGCGATCGCCATCCCCCGCCCGCGGAGAGTGGGCAGAACATTCTCAGTAGCGCAATCCAGGATGATCAGGTCGGATTGCAGTGCGACCTGGAGGGTTTCCTCGCACGCAAAATTGAGACTGTCGGGTGGCTCGATCGATGTGGGCCAGTGATCACCCCGAATCGGCGACGGCGGACCGGAGCTGGAGGTCGTCGCGGACTGCTCGCGTGCCAGGCATACCGTCGTGGCCCACGTCCGTCTGTCGTTGATGACCCTGTTGGCAACGGGTACGAAGGCTTTCAGGACGGCCCCGGCTGTTTCTCCTGCGGCGACGTAGCAGATTCTGTATCAGTATCACGGCTTGACGAAGGCGGACCCTTCCTCGTCGGCGCTTACCGAAACCTATGAATCCCACCGTCTTCTTGCTGCGCACCGTCGAATCTGAGCCATTCGAGTCTGCCACAGGATACCCGCCACTCGGGCCTGGCGCGGCGGCATCTGTGTGGGCTCGGTTGGGAGCGTTGGTTGCTCCATGAGACATCTTGGATATGGAGAAGTCGGCCCCGAGTTGAGATGAATGTGGGTAAAGCAATTTGAGATAGTATAACAAAATTAATGGATGATAGTCGAGCCCTTCGAAGGTCTGTTCCCTTGGATCTGTTTGGGGTCTTGGTGCTTGGGTATGTTGATGTTGACAGGCGGTCGAAGTGTGGAGGGCGCAATGGCATGCATCGCTTTGCAAATGCAGTGACCAAACCCGACCCTGGGCTCACCTTGACGAACATCCATTGCTCCTGCCGAACTTGTTTACTCGGGAGTCGGCCACAGTGCTATGAGGCAACATGTTGCCTGTAAGCGCAGGCTCCCGAGGTCTACCGGCAGGCCTCGTGCCTTCCAGTTCCCTTCTCATGATGTTTGTCTGGTTTGATGGCAGGCTTGAATTTATTCAAGGAGAATGTGAACGACCTTTTCTCGGGTATCCGCTACTCGGCCACTGCGGTAGACCACCTGGGCAATGCTCACTATGTATGGTGAACCTGCTGTAAGATAATGGGATCAGCAGGGTTGAAATTAGTCTGAATTAGTTTAGTCACCAGCCTTAACTAAGACTAAAGACTTTTAGTTAAAAAAATAGTAACTAAATCTTTTTTTAGTTAATAATTATAACTAAAAACTAAACTAATTAATAAATTAATCTTTAATCTTTAATTTAATTAAATTAAAAGTAAGTTTAACTTAATAATATAGGTAAAAAGTTTAAAGTATATAAAAAATTTATATAATACCTATAGGGTTTAAGTTTAATTTTAACTCTAACCTACTTCTTACCTTACTTTTTACTTAAATAAAAAAGACTTACTCTTTTTTTTAATCTTTTAATCTTTTTTAATTTAATCTTAGTTTTTAAGTTTTAATCACCTAATATAACTAAATAACTAAAGACTATTTTTTTTTAATTATAGTCTAACTAAAAACTAAAAGACTAAAGACTAACTTAATCTAACTAAGAAACTAAGGAATAAATTTACAACCCTGGGGATCAGAGATTCGTACCCACAAAAGCAGAGGGCACACCCATGATGGCAACCCACCTACCTAGGAACCCCCGTAGGTGGATGGGTAGGTATGGAGGTAGTCGTCTTACACGAGGCCGTTGCACAGGAGGTTGTCCTAGAATTCTAATGTGCCCTCTACTAGTACTTTTACAGCTGCGAATCCCCGATCTCAGAGACAAAATACTATGGGATAGGTTCCCTTGAAAGACTTGCAATTCTTTGGCAGACCAACTCGCGATATGTAACCTACCCAGGTACCTTAGGGTACCCAGATGCAAGGTGAGCAATTCAGGTCCACGAACTGCGCAATTATATTCATCATCCTCGTGGGCTATTGATGGAGGTCACGGTAAATATGTGCCATTATAATCTAAGATGTCATACAAACTTGAACTCTATCAATGCAAAAATAAACCTCAGCTAACAGTTCGCTAAACATGCGTCTCCGCCATTCACCCATCGGCACATGCCCACCTCTGCTAATGGCGATGATGAAAATTCTTCCATGCCCGAATCCTTAAAGACCCTGTGGAATTTTGCCTCGACTTCCCGTACCAACTCGTCAAACCCCGGCTTTTCACCCTCGCTGGGATCCACCAGTGGGGTCCATTCTGCCCCTACATCAGTAAAGTCAAGGTTGACAACGGAGAAGCCTTCCTTGGCTACCAATTTACGGGCCAAAGAATCCAGCCAATTGTCACTAGGAGCGCTGTCCGCCTGTTCAACATATTCCTTCAGGCTCCAGTGACCCTCATCCGTTGGTGGGTCAAGCCCCTCGCGCAGACGATTTTGGAGATATTGCCCCTCGACGACAGCATATCCCGCGCCCTTGGCTGACGGCCAGCTGACGGCCTTAACGCCAGGAAAGCGCGGCTGGAAGTGATACGTTCCGTCGTCCCATCCTTGGAAAACGTTGACGGTGTCGGGCCAGGCGACTGTGCGGTTGGTCTTCTTCCCCAGCGCCAGCGCGAAGGCGACCTGCTTGTGCACCGCGTCCGACGTGCCGCTGATCCCAAAGGGACGTAGAATCGGCGGCGGCTTACTGTAGTATCCATCAAGGTCGCCAAAACCGCCGTAGTTCAACCCAAAATATTCTTTGAGGTCGTGCTGGACGCATGTGTAGTGAATCGCGGCTGCGTTGGATACGTAATCGTCGGTGGCAGTCTGGTTTCCGAAAAGCTCTGGACTCCACAATTCCAGCATGAAATTCCTGAAATGCTTCAACTCGACCATGTGTATACGAAGCGGCGGTGTACTTGGTGCGCTCGTCTTATTCGAGCCTGCGCTGATTTCGGCGGCCAGAGCGGCTTCCTTGGCCAGCATCCCATCTCTGATTTTATTCATTACCAGCTGATCCCACTCGTCCGTCTTGGTATGTATCCAATGCGCGAAGCTTAAACGAAAGAACATCCGCGTAATTGGCGTCGGGCGCGCAAAGTACCAGCCAATATTCAGGTTGCCTGACCCACCGTCGGACTGGAACTGGAGATCCCATGTCGTATTGGACAACGGAAGCATGACGCCGAATGGGTCGAGTGAGCCAGTGAAGAAGACGTCGGCGTCAAGAAAGACAAAGGCATATCCGTTCTCAGAAAGATCGAGGTTGGCCATGAACTAACGTGCTCGCAGTATCAGCTAGGCTATTCATCTCAGAGATCCAGGATTTGTGAAGAGGCGTACCTTGAAAAACGCCACAGCGTGCATTGCAGCGTCATCTCCCAGCAAATATCCCGGATAGGGGTTAAGCAGTTCAGGATCTTTGGCGCAAATCTCATCCAGGCACAGCACGACGAGGCTATGGTCATGTCCCCACTTTGCCAGGCGATGCTGTGTTGCGTGCAAGATATGAAGATACGACGCATCTGCAATGGTCACAATTGGCACTGCCTTGCCTGGCATCAACCCCCGTTCCATCAGCCACTTGTGTAAAGGCAATGAAACATCGGAATTGTCATTCGATCCAGATTCACCACCCCATTTAATTGAAGGTAGTCCCAGGCCGCTAGTTGAGTCAACCTTGATAGTAGGGAACGATTCGTAATTAAGAAATTGTAATTGCGCGATAAAGTAAACCAGACAAAGGAGCATAAAGGCCAGGCCAGTCCATGTACCAACCATGGTGATTAGACTTTGTTAGAGCGATGTTACAAAGTCAAGTTCGTCATGGGAAGGGGCGCAGATTGGGAAAGATGAGGAAAATGGCCTTAGTTAAACTTATGCGGGATGATAAGCCAGCGCCTGCGACAAGGTTATCAGTGACCAGTCTCTACCGCTCGACGTCCTCAAATTTAGTGTAATATCATTCCAGTGCTTCATCTCTCATTCCCATGGAAATGTGATCGAATAATGAATACTAAATAAAACACGATGAATAAAGCTAGCAAGGGCAAGGAAGTAACACCTGAGGCGGCATGCCAATCACGATAGGTGCGCGGCATGGTGCGTGACTTTCCGTCCTCCTGATTAATAGTCTCATTTCCACAGCGGAATTTGTGTCGGCTATGAGACACGAGCAAGCCACCTGGTTAAGGACCCGCCCTTGCGCTGCACTACGTCCCGAGGTCTAACCCGGATAGCAGTCAATATAGATATAGCTTCGGCCACACCATGTTCTTCCTCTCTACTCTCTATCTATATGCTGATTTATCAGACTCATCCCTACCCTATAGCCAGTATATACAATATTTCACACATTGATAGCTGATCCTAAGCATTTACCATTAAATGAGGGCGCAATGCAATACCGCCAACGGCTTACTCCCTCAAACCGCTCTTAAGCTGTTGGTGTGCAGTTTACCGATCGGCCCACCCGCCGTTTAGTGGTATTATGTATATCCTCGGACGTATACGGAATAGAAGTAAAACCACATGACTTTTTCCAACAAACATTATCATATACACATTAATATAACTAGAGAAGAAGTATCTAGGTGTAAGTGTGTGTGTGTGTGGGTGCCTGGGGGCCCTAACTGGCTTCCAGTCGCCCCCCACTTTAGGACCTTAGCCTTCCTTTCACAACCCTCTCAAACCTTCCTCCTTACATAGAAGGTAGCGCCGACTTAACTGCAATTGGTGTATTGAGGATAGTTGCCTTATCTCTATTTCCCCTCTTGTGACACTAGCTGTATCTAGAAATAACGTGAAAACTAATAGCCGTACTTAATATTAATACTACTTAGTGATTTTGATAGACTTTTTAAGCTTCTATTAACTGAGATATCGACCATGACGTTTGTCAGTTTCCGATGGCCTATCAGGAGCCGCCACACTACCAGGACCTACGTCCCCAGATGTGTTTGGGTCAGCTAGGGTCCGTGAAGCTCTGTGAGCACGTTTACATCCCATGGGCCACCGTCAGGACGCAAAATGATGCGTTGCGGCGACAGCACGGAGGAGGAAGAACATGTACAGGAACTGACTGGAAAGCGTGTCTTGAAAGCTTGAGTGAGTATCAACTTTCTACTGCTACTGGCCGACATAATCATGTTTCAGAGTCTTCTATTATTCAGTACTTGAGGATAAATAGCGAGACTAACTTCACACTAAGGTATCGAGTGCCACAATGCTACTCATGACATACGATGTACAGACGCAGAGGCGCCGAGTTGGCCGCGGGGTCGTCTCGGCATCGAAAACCACAAGGTAGTCCTCTATCTGGACTGGACGCCACATGCTCGAATTGACGGGTTGATGCCAACTGAGGACGGAAAAATACCGGCAGCAGAGCTGAGAGATCTGTTCCGGAGATTTCGGCGCCAGGGCCCGGCTGATTCGTTGTATCCCCCGGGCTTCCCTGGAACTTTGCCTGAGATGGCTTGTTTTAAGAGAGAGTTCCCTATCTATTATAAGGTGGAAGAAGATGGCAATGTTGGAGACAAATCGCCCCCATCGATCTCTTCGTCACACCCCCCAGCGCTTTGGGATCCGCAAGACTTATCATACGTTGCCAGTACCAGAGCGGGATTGCTCGAGATGGGTAGAACAGCCGGCGGCTGGATATCATTCCTCATTATCCGAGAGGCGCCAGTGGACACGGGATCGATTCCAAGTGCCTCGCAGTGAGGGATCAGAGGAAGATTGTGATTTGTGGTATCATGGATCTACAGGACCCAGCCACCAAGCTCGTCCCCTCTCATCCGTGGCTCCATGCCATGGACACTCAAACATATCCCCACCAAGAAGCATGGCAATTTATGCCTCGAAGTGAGGATGAGTCTTGCAAAAACTATTACCTGAGGGCTAAGCATCAATATTGCTGAAACGAAACACCATCCCCCACATCCACTACATATAGAACGTAGGGTCCCGCACCTTCCGTGACCCTTCTTCCGTCTAAATCAACTTGATTCTTCTCTTATAAAATTAAATATACATTCTTTTATCCCTCCTAAATATAAGGCTAAAAGACCTATAATTATAAAATTCTAACTAATTTTTATTTAACTATTTTATTATATTATAACTTAGTCTAACTTTATTTAAGCTTCTTTTTAAACTTTATAAGAGCTTTGATTTCTATAAGTATAAACTTTAAATTAGAACTTTTAATTAAATTTAAGATTTTTATAAATTTTAATATACTTTAAATTAAGTTTATAATCCTTTAACTTTTCTAGAAATATATTAATTATCTTAGATATTAATAACTTTTCTTTAAAGTAAAGGTTTACTTTTATATAGTTATAAATCTAATTATTAATAGTTATTTCTTTTTTTATAAAGCTATTAGAATTATAAACTTAAATACTATATATAGTAATAGAGTATAGTTACCTTATCTAATTATCTCTTAGTTTATATAGTAGGCTAAGTGACTACTTTTAAATAGTTTTATTTATAAAGTTAATAGATAGGTATTTACTTAAGTAGAGTTAGAACCTTAGTTAGGGGAATAGTAGCTTTATCTTTACTTATTTTAACTAATTTATATTTATATCTAAGTTATATAATAAATTTAATACTTATATATAATATTTATTAATATTAAATTAATCTATAGTTTATAATAGCTTTAACTTTTAATAAACTAATTTATATTAAAGTTAATAGCGTTAACTTAAACTAATATAACTTAGTATATTAATATAGAAAGGTGTCTTTTAATAATAGATAGTATTATAGATATAGATTCTAAAGTTACTATAAAAAGTCTTATATAGTAAACTTAACTAAGTTAATCTTTAAAAGATATATTATATTTTATCTCTTTAAGACTATAATTATTTACTTCTAGCTTAATAGTAGAACTAAAAAAATATAAATAGTTTATATATTCTTTTATTATTTATTAATACTATACTTCTTTAAAATATTAAGTTTCAAATATATACTATTATATAAAGGTATTATATATATTATATACATATTGAGAGTAAAAGAAAACTACCTTTATGATGATGCAAGGTTGGTATTGTGTGACCCTGATCTTCTTCACGTTGGGCTGTCCTGGAATCCTCTTATCCTACTCCGCCACCGGGCGGAAGGAGACTGGCACGGTGGCAGAATGGATGCCGTACCCAATCGGGTAGTCCATTGAGCCAGTCGTGTCGATCTTCTTCTAGAGGGAATAACAGAAGGCGGCTCTGTCGGGCAGCTTGCCTGGAGCATGCCTTGTGAGGCTGGCGCGGTGCTCGCATCCATTGGCTCGCCGGGGCGCTTCTCAAGCAGGGCCCGTGCCTCCCGTGCCAGCCTGCTTCTTCTTGAGGCTGGTTCAAATCTTTAGCTTCTTCGCCGGGGCGGGGCTGGTCCTCGTCATCGTCCTCAGCACCGCCCTCGACATCCGGGGGCGGGTGGGCCTGCGAGCCACCCCTACCCTTACCCTTCCCCTTCCCTTCAAATGTTGCGGATCGGCCGCCCTAAGAGAAGCAAGGGAATCCTCCCTTCTCGTAAGCTCATCTATTCTGTGGTCCGAATCCCCGTCTGTGTCCGACAACGGAATCATGGACTGGTGAACCTCGGATTTCGTTGGAGCTCTAGCCTCCTTGACCTCCTTGCCCAGGGCATCTTTCGTGGCCGAACGCTCCGTAAAGGCACCCAATCATTTCTCGGGGTCATCTTCATCAGGGTCATCTTCATCAGCATTGGCCAAAATCTCCCAGCCTCTTTGAGAAGCTTCTCGGCTGGGGTCATGGGCTTCTCGGCAGGCTTATCCGCGGACTGCTCGTCATGCTGCTGGAGGGCGGTGGCGGGCTGGTCAGCGGGCTCATCCATGGGCTCCCCAACGGTCGTGTGCACAACCTCCTGCTCCAGCCGAGCAGCGGGCTCCTGCGCGGGGGGGGGGGGGGGATGGTCGGCTCCTCCATCGGCTCATTGATAACCTCATCCAAAAGCTCATCTTCATGCCTAGCAGTGGGCGCCCGGATGGGCGTCTCCACAGGGTGCTGGGTCATGGTGGCAGTAGCCTCCTCGGTTACCGTCTGCTGCTTGGGGTGCCTCCTCATCTTCTTCTGGGCCCTGGATGCCACCCTCACTGCGCTCAACCGGGTCCTCGTCCTCGGCTATCAGAGCCACCGTCTTCCTGGCAGCCGACAGGATATCGTCATACTCCCAGTTCAACTGTCGGTCGTGCTCCTGCTTCTCTCGGATCTCGTCGATCGGATGGCCCTGGTGGTATGCGTCAGGGTACCTAGCAACACAGATCTTTAGGTACTAATATCCTTATAATAACACACACTAATAAATAAAGTACCATACCTTTTAGAACAACTTAGTTAGTATAAAAATTCAAAGCCGATTTAGTAACACTTATAATTCTGATGGTAAAAGATGTTCCTGCTCGTACTAGGCCACCAATTATTCGGGTCCATGTGGCAGTGCTACCACTGGGAATCCATGTTCGCCTAGCAGCGGAGCCCTGAAGGATTGAACACGAGCATTAGCACATGTAAACTAAACCAAACGTAGGTATACCAGTCAGGGGCCCCATAATCCATGCGTCTGCCTATACGAACTTTCGGATCCTCGCCGTCGAGGTGGAACGATACGGTGAGATTCGAGGGGCTTATTTAAGTGGATGCATTCCTCTTCCTCATCTGTGTGCTCTTGCCTCTCAGCTCATGAACCCTTCTTGAACTTCATTGTCATTGTCCTCGCCACAATGTTGCCCAACACCTCAGCTTGCATCGCAATCCTGTTCGCTGGTTCATCAGCAATCGCTCAGACGCTGAATCCGTGGCCTCAGAAAAATTTCGGTGGGGATGGCAATTACACAGACGGCGACGTCAACACAATCGAGACTAAAGACTATATTCCCTACTACGGCGGCGGCAGCTTCTCGCTTCTGTTCAACACCTGGATCACGATGAGCGGACTATACATACAGTCCCCGGGCGACGACTTCATCACCGACTACAAAGTTCAAGCTGTCATTGGCGACGATTATGCGCTATTGGATGTCGGCAGGGTATGCGGCGCGACCGGAAACTTCACATTCGTGCCTTTGATCAACCCTAGGGATGGACAGCCCCCTCGGTCGCTCACGTGGCTCGTGAATGTCAGTGGCACGAGAGAAAACTCCACGACGTACCGCATCAACGAGATGTGGCCTGTGTTTCCAGGGGACGAGGTTGTTGACCCTGAGAACACATCCTCATGTCCAGCGGCTGTTTCCGCGTGATTCGCAACTGGGTCTGGAATTCCGATGCCACGACATTATTGCTGGCGTTGGACAATATCTTAGAAGAGGTCAACCAATCCGCTACATTCTATGGAATGCGACCAGGGAAAGAAGGGAAAAATTAGAGATGATTTAAAGGTGCAGAGTGCTCAGTTACCGCAGCCGGCAAAGTGAAGGTGATGTCTGGTATGTGATCTCGAAGGATTCATGTTAGTCTAGTCTAAGTGACCAGATGATAGTGGATGATGATGTGATCAATGATCTAGAAGATACTAGTAAAGGGTGTAGAGCACTTGAGAAGACATCGCGCTTTTATATTGCAGCTTTATTGTGGCGGCTTTTCCCCAGGTCCTATCTGACCACTTTGGATAGGTGGACTTGAAGGATGCCCGAATTCACATATTAGGGTTGCACAGAAAACTTGGTTGTTCAACATGAAGGTCTACGGGAATGACCTCATAGAATTATATATAGAAATCTTAGTAATACGAGGATTTGTTATGAGCCAACCATGGTACAATGTGCTCGTGGGTTTGATCAGAGTTATGCTCGGGCGAGGTGCGTCGAATCAGATAATTCAGCAGAAAACTAAGCAATGGTACTAAGTACATACTGTTCGACCAAGCAAATAGGAAACATATCGATTTGCTCTCCACCCTGTAACCAGGCCAGCCTTGCATCGGTACATGACTTACATTCCCATGAGGCTCCTAGCCCTCGCGACTTCGTCGGCAACACGTTGTCGAAGTTCGGGGTCCCTCTCGTTCTCTTGTACAGCATTCTCCTCCATTGCGATGTTCAAGGTGGCCCGTGTGGCGTCGAGCTGCGCCAAAACCAACTCGTTTAATTCCTGCTGCACGTTTTCTGCTTGGTCCTTGAAGCGTTGTTGCAACTCCCTGGTGATGTCGTGAAAAACGTCATCGTTTGCGAAAGTCCTGTTCACAACTGCTTTGCGTAATTCGGTGCATCCGTTACCTATATCAAGTTCCGTCAGAATTTATACATTCAATGTTTTGGACAACATGTGTCAAACTCGGCAGGGCAACCCACCACTATGCTGCATCGCCTCTCCACAGACACGGGACATGATCGTCCTTATCAATGAACCATTCAGCGAAGTGAGGGTGTCTCTGCGTAGAAGCCTGATTTATGTCAATACAAAGGTTAAACCGAAGGTCTTTTGGATAAGTTGCGTACGAGAGAGTGTCATCGAAGCGGTCGAATACATCTTCCACCTTGTCGAGTAGCAAGTACTTCCGGACTACCAGAGCGTGGCAAATTTCGTCCCCCATATCATTAGAGTCTGGCCACTCAGATTCTGGATATGGAAAATATAATTAGCAAACACAGCAGTCGATGCGGTTCTTAGCGACCGCTAACCTAAAAGTAAAGAGGCTTCCTCCCAGCATGTAGCTACACTCTGCATCAACGTCCCCTTATTAAGGAGAACATCTGATAATAGATCATTCCAATTTGACTTGGTGTCAATGACCATACTTTTCATCACCTCTTTGTTCCAATTACGGTGCCCCTCGGTCCTGGTATGATGATGTCCGTTGTGGCGAAGCCAAGCGTCGTAGGAACCTGTCAATGTTAGAATTGTTCTGCCCGACAGGAGTATGAAGACACTGCGATGAGGAGGTGATTTATATACGGTGATGAAACTGTATTAGATCCGATTAGCTTCAAATTTGTGGCGTTGGATACATCACGCGGCGTGGCTGACTTGGTTCCAACTCATGCATGCATCCCTGGAAGTTTTAGTCCATCTAGGAATCTGTCGACCTGAGGACCCAATCAGCATCAGCAGGAATTCTTCAGAAACCATATTTATCGGACTGTCTCTACCTTCCCAAATTCTGTTTCTGAAAGACTCATTCAAGCACCTCTTGATAGTGCTCAAAGATGACCTTCTGGATGTCAGTTCCTAATTATTAAATGTTAGCATAATTACTTAAGAGAAGGCAACATCAAGAGCTCGAGGCCAACCTTTTGAAGTTTCTTCTCAACCTTGATAAGCACATCTTGAATAGCCCGTTTCTCCTGTGCCGAGGCACTTCCCGCCCCAGACTGCAACCAAATCTCGACATCTCGCAACAGCGCTGGCACCTGGTGATCTAGGAACCTCTTCGACGCCCGCAGCTGACTCTCCCCAACAAGAGCGACTAGGTGTCTCCGCACCTCGATGATCCCCGAGAGATCCAGGAACCTCCGTGAAACGGACCTTTCTAGATGTCGCTTGTCTTGATACAACTTGTTCCCAACGCATAATACGTTGAGCGTTTCGCCGTGGGCTTGGGCCGCGTAATCTGTTCTGAGCTTATGTGCGATGTGACGGTTCCGTGTTCTGATGGCACGATCCTGCAGCTGGAAGTCAAGAGTGCTTTGTCGATTTTCGAGCCTCGTCTTCTGTTCGTGAAATTTGAGTTTGGCTTCACGAGATGCGACATCGTCTTCTGGGATGCCCTCCAAGGCCGCCAATTTTTCCTTGACCTCCTCAATATCTCTCTCGACGTCCTGTAGAGCTGTTTTGAGGTCTCTTATTGGTCGGGCCTCTTCCTCGTCCCAGTCATTGTGTGCCTCGTGGAGATTGATGTCATCCGCTTTCGTGCAGATGATTCCTACGCGTTCAAGCCATGCTTGCTGTGCGATCTGGAAAATGGTCTTCACCCCTTCATCCGCTGTGGCTCGTTCGATTCTACAAACAGCGAGAATCTCATGACAGTTCACCACATACTGCTGGGTGATATTGCGGCGTGCTGAGTTCAGATCCCGGAGTCCAGGGAGGTCGACCAATATTAGTCCCTTGCTGAGGACATGCGCATTCAAGTAGACTTTGATTTTTCGAATATATGGTCACATCGATGGCTGCAGTGGATTGTTGGGTTCCGAGCTGAGCGGAAGCAGAAGGGATGAGCACTCCTCCAGGGTCTCGGCGACCTGTCTGTCCGGTGGGCTGAGACGCCTGGCTTCCTTCGACCATGTCTTCAATTGGTCCAGCACAACACCTTCGGCCTCGGTGCGAAGCCATTCCTTGTCCTGCAATTTTCCGCCAAACATGGACTTGAATGTATCAATGGCAAGTTCAACCTTCTCCGCGGATTCCTCCCCGGCGGGTGCCCTATAGCTACCCAGCAGCTCAGCAAGCTGATCATTCAACTCATCTTCGGAGAACATTTCCACGTCGATAAGATAGTTTTTGGCGGCATGGAAGTGATACTCGGTCACAACGCACGTGCATGCGGAGCCCCTCCCGGTGGTGCGTGCTAGAGAAGCCCGATCCAGCAAGCAGTTGATGAGGCTGCTCTTCCCGACACCAGACTCGCCAACGAGTCCTACTGTGCGCATGGCACGCGGTTGAAATCTGCTGAGGCCCTCAGCTTCTTCGTGGTGGCGCTTGACGGTGGAGTCAGGCTCGAGGTGAATGGAGCTGCTTGAAAGAACACTCGCCAAGTCCCTTAGCATAGCTCTGGCTTGAGACAGTCTTCCTTGGAAGTCTGGATGATGGAACTCGTCGTCGGGCAGCTCTTCGTCTTCAACCCTGTGGATGATAGATTCTGGACGCGGGCTGGGCCTGCTGTGGGAATGCCTAGCTGGCGATACAGCGAGAGATGTATCGAGTGGGCGACTGTCTTCACCACGGACGACGCCATCGATCGCGTCACCTAATTCTCTCATTTTCAAGCCTGCCGTGGGACGCGGCGACGTCTGTCTGCTTGAGAGTCGAGATTCCTCCAGGTGAGGTGTGAGCTCCGTACTCCCGGCAGCAGATGTCGCTACAGGATGTCCTGTTGCGGGATGGAGTGAGAGCGGAGGTGAGACGGACCCTGAGGGGTGTGGAGACTGGCTGCTGATGGGGGTAGCCCGAATACTGTTCTGTATCTCGGGAGCATTCTCGAGGACGAAATCGCGTCGTATACCACCAGTTGCCGACCCCCCGGCGATGAGGGAGGGGGTCTTGTCGGTGTTAGCTGCGGGTGCTGGGCTTGGACTCCGTTCTATGGACGGGATTGGAGACTGAGAGAAGTCTCTCCCGTCATTAGATACCCCTGGGTTTGTGTGGTTTTGGGGGCTCTGGGAAGTTTCGTCGACAGTTGTCCGCGTATTCAATACTGCGGGAACACCTGTTGCAGGACGAGCATGGCCCTGTGACGCAGAGGGAATGGACTGAGCTATACGTGACCTCACAGGGAGTATCTGCAATTATTAGGAGACTGGAGAGGTGTGGTTACTTCAACTTGGACATAACTAACAACACGAGCCATTATGGAGGAGTCATGTGCAGACTGCCAGAAGGAATGCTTTTAGTCGAATCAATGTGTTCTCTGTAGGATAGCTCGCTTGTATGGTTGTAGATCGATGGAGAAAGAGATTCTCAATCCTCTCGACGCCAGAACATGCGGCGAAGTCTGTGCTGGAGGGGCTTCCAATGTCCCGAAAGTATTACAGTTTGAGTTGAGCAGAGATCTCGGAGACTGTCTGATGGTTTAAATAAAAGGACAAGCTCATATCTGGCACCACAGCTGACGCGGTTCCCGCCACTCACGACACCCTCAATTGATGGGAGCCTGGAGGCCGCCTTTTCAGGCCAGGAGACAGCTTCAAACACTGCAACAGTGGCCGGCGCCAGATCATACCCCCCCTGCATGCTTTACCTCGCCATTTTCCCAAATATGCGGCCGAAATTTCCATTTTAAGGTAGATCAAGGCGCTTTGCGACGTGACAAGAAGGGGCACCTGCAGCACAGCCCCGAGCTGAACTGGTTCTCAGGGACTTCATCACCAACTGCATATCAACTCATGTTCTGATTGGCCTCTTCGGATGCAGACTGATTAAGAACAAAACCACTCTTCTTTATCTACAACTACTATTAATATAACATTAGGTATAATTATAATTATAAGTTTTTAATAACTTTTATAATCTTTAATTATTAGTTATAATTATAAATAAATTCTTAATTACGTTATAACTTTTTATTATTTTTTAAAAGAAATTT